GAAAAGAGCGTAATTTCGATTTTCGCCTCGCCTTATTTCTCCTCTTTCCCCCATTTTCGCCCTTCCCTTCTTTCCTTCCTCCTCCCGTTTTCCCCGCCAGATATGGCCGAGTAATATACGAGCACTGCATCTGTTCTCTCTTCGTGTGACGCAACGTCCTGCCATAGATCACGCCGAGGCTTTTAGAGAGTGAAGGCTGTTAAGAAAAGCGCGACGAGGACAGCCGTGCGGACGCTAGATGGAACGGAGAATACGGAGGGGCGAGGAGAGAACGGGGAGAGGGGAGGAGGAGAGTAAGGTTGGAACGAAAGAGCGTCTACGTTACGAGGGAGACGGGGAGCGGGAAAGAGAGAGAAAACTCGAGCTGCTATGGGACACAAGGGTAGGAGGTGGGGTGGGGAGGTTGACAGGGTGACGTACCGTTGCTGTTAAACTCGGTTAACAACGAGAGAAGTAGTGTATCGGTGAGTTCGTTTTTCTCCCCGGCTATTATTCGCCTTTGATCAACCACGAGGCAAGAAACGGATTAAAAAAAAGATAAAGATAAAGAGATCAAGTCTAAACTTGAATCGAAAGTACGAATCGATCGGAGCAACAAAGAATATGACGCGAAGAGGCACGATTGATTACGTAACTAGTAGTCGCATGTACGGTAAACGCGACCTCTTTTATTAACGCGCTTCTTTACCTTATTAATTGCGATTGAGAATAAAATATTTTGAGAGAAAACAAAAAAAGAAGCAAGTCTTCGCTGAATTTATCCTTTAGAGAATTCGATATCCTTTTCGAGTCGTTGGTAGAAGAAGGGGAGAAGGAAAGGGAACACGACGGCTAGCTAGATACAAACGGGAAGCGAACGCGTCGCTCCGCACCGCGTCGTGCAAACCATTCAACCGAGATATACGATCGAGAGTTTGTTCGCGTTTATGGGCTGCGTCTGGAAAGAAGGTGGAGTGGGAGGCGAGGGATACGCGGAGGGTAAAGAGAGAAGAGAGAGAGAGAGAGGCGAGTTGCCGCTTTATCGGAGCACCCTTATGCCTATTATGCCTCCTCATCCCCCGATGGTAGCGGTTTAACGCGCGGCCATCCCC